CATCTGTGCAGACAGTCCCAAAAGGCCACGCACAAAGGCTGGGGAGAAGTAGTGAAAGGGTTTTGCTTGGAGCTGTTTGGCACAGTGTGTTGGTGAGTCTGGCAACTCGGTCATGCTATGCAGATGAGCCGCGAGTTGCTATGACTCAGAGGCGGGGCACAGTCGTCTGTGTCTGCCCATCTTCTGCAGTGTGGACGTTTATAGCGGCATGCGTTTTCAGACGATACGAGTCGTGCTCGTCGTCGGGAGCCGGGCAATGCTCGGCAGGATTGTGGACGGAGAACGCTGGCGACCTATGATAGATTACATGGCTCTGTGGCTGTAAATGTTGTCTGTCGCGCTCTAGTTAACCGACGGACTGCCCAGGCAGACTCACAACTTTTAAGGGCCAAGCAGGGAACAATTAGGGAGACTGATTGAAAACTGGCACATCCCACGTACTGGGCCATGCAGAAGCTGCAAAATCCGACCTTTCACATTAAGGATATTAATGAACAGCTGATTTGAATTTGAGGAGATCCGTCAACAAATTACAACATGTATTCCATCTTCACTGGACAAGTGGACGGACGGCGACTCAAAGAGGACACCTGTCCTTCGTTGTGCTGAGGACCTGTATACTTGATGCCAGTGTTCAAACACGACCTATTTTCATCTTTTACTTTTCATTTCTTGAGGTCTTTGATCCGTAGCATCAATACTGATGTCTACCTGTGTTTTGAAGACACTTCTCATTAAACGTGTTGCCCAAAATATCTTATTGGCATCGATGCAAGGCTGCCTTCCACATTGCAACCAATGTTTATTATTTTTGCCGTTGCTGTTTGCCTCGATTGTTATTGCTTATTTAAAGCTAAGCAAGCATAAAAACGATAACGTTATATGCGTCTTCCTCCACTTGTGGTCGCGTGTACCCGTAGTACAGTTCATGTATCCCACATTTCCTTTGTCTTTGCTACAAAGTGATGAATCCGTCTTCTTATTGTACAATATATATTCTGAAGTTTACATGCATACCGCACGGTCCCGTCAGTCAAGCACTTAATATTATACACCCCCTCGCCCATGTGAAATGAACCAGCCCTTAGCGAGAATGTTTGCGGCAAATATCGCATTGTTAAGACTACCCCCAAAGATCGGATACCATTCTTGCGCGCATTCACTCTTTAATTTTACCACCTTATGTAACATTACAAGGGTGCTTGAAGGTCGCAGACAGATTTTTGTAGTTCAGATTAATTTTTTTCCTGAAGGGTAAAAGCCAGAGGCGTTTTCACCTGATGACTAACGGAAGCTGATCCCGTCGTGCTCTCCTGTGGAAGCAGACAAATCTGCAGGACTACTGTAGCAATTAATTACAGGCCTCACCTTATCACATTCTAGACAATACGAGAAAAGGGTGTAATTCTACACGGCAGTATGGGATTGGTTTTTGTTTTGTGGTGGCGCATTTTTTTCATGATAGAAAGGCAGAAAAATCTCCAGCACTAAACAAGGGCGTATGGAGTGTCACTAAAAATTGTTGCATACTCCGCATACATGTTTGTCACCTCCAGGGGTGTAGTTGTCTATACAACATTATAATCGTTTGGTATGTCTTCTCTGACTCTGTTTCTCTAAACACAGTCAGTCAGGCTTCAGGCGTTTTACGAATTCCATTGGACTAAGGTCACAACAAATGTGTTATTTAAGTTATTTGTTTCTTTTGAAGTAAAAAAAAAACGTATCGCATTCAACTGCAGGGCTCTTACAGAGGTACAAACACTTGTAGATTCTGTTTCACACAGTGAACTGATTTAATGCCCAATCCCCTCAAACCATTTAAAATTGCAATGGAGTGTTTATGTAGATCGGGGAGGTCATGTTGCATCAATGTCCCTTCTTGCATTTGCTGTTTCATGTAATTTATTTTGGTAGTTACTTTATTCTTTTCCGTTTTAATTTTTTTTTCAGTTATAATAATAGTGACGCATGTACACCAGGAAATGGCCAGGGCTTTTGGCACCGTCCGTTCGGCATCACCCAGCACTTCCCCTATCTTTTACTGTCATCTCTTTACCGTAGTCCGTGATATAGAATTATAGAGTGTCACGGTTGTGTGCTGTAGATGCCCTGATAGCGCAGGCTCTCAGGCTATCGAACAGCACCTAGTGCAGTGGATGTACGATTTGCCGGCGACTCAGGCCAATAAAGTCCGCAATATAACCCTAATCCCCAGTTCCTGTTCTTAGGCGCTTTCTCCATTTGGGCATTTCATTTTTGCTGTAACGCACATCTATAACATGGCGACAGTAGACATGGGTTAACTGCCGGAGACATATTGTATACAGCAGTTGTCTGGCCGGAATAACTGCGCTTTTTATCAATCTGGCCCGCCTGGCTGACCCTTCGCACTTCCCGCTTCAGTGCGATCAGGCTCACTTCGGATATGCTTTGTTACCCACTCAATAATATTTGATTATACTCCTATTATGAAGATATCACAGACAATATAGCGACATTAGAGCTGTAGGGGCGCGCAGTTATTGGGTCGGTAAGCCGATACCGTGTCTATCTCTCTCGGGAGCCCAGCCAACGCGCCATTTAGGACGGCTGTGGGACGACCGAGTATGAAAAACGTTGCTAGTTGTGAAGATAACCGCTGGCCTTGATGCTGACACGCTATAGTAGATGTGCTCTTTGGATGAACCGCGGTATCTCAGCCATTTCCAGGGCTGGTGTTAGGAGGGGGGCGCTCGTAAAACTGCCAACTGACCCCACTGCGCAGTAGATTGCTACCGTACGCGGCGCTGCACCTGGCGGGCTGTCCCGGCCTACTTTCCTACCAGGAAACATTCCTTCCTGACTGGGTCATAGCTCACATAGCGACCATGTTGCAGGCCCGTGCATTTCCCATGTGAGTTCAGTGTCCTGTGTTATGTGAGGGTTTCTTTACGACAGGGCGTGCCGCCGGCCTCGCGACTGCCTTGTTACCGGTCGTTCTGGGGGCTGTCGACAAGGGCAGGTGCTCGGGCGACCGCGCCGTACCAACCAGGAAATGGTATTTTCCTCGTGTCGCTCCCGCAAGCCTACGGTTACATTTCCGACAGGTTTGCCGGGTCTGGACGCGGAAGCCGCGAGTCTGAAGGAAACCTTAGAACGTAAAAATGTGCCCCGTCGCTGCTGGAGCATCCTAGGAATGCTGACACCATACAAGGTCGGCCGCACGCCAGGGATTGAGTGATACCAGGAAAACGTTCAAGGGTGTTCCTCCTGATTATTTCCGCTTCCGCTTGCGGACAGTAACACACCACGGTCATGTACTGTTATTCGCCAACCCGCTGTATGCATTGCCTCGCCATTGCGCATAATACAGAATTCATTCACGAACCACACAAAAGGCTTCGCATTTAGTAAAAACGTCGCTTCAAAGTCTACGAATCGGTCTTTCGTATCCTGCAACGTTTTCATTGTGCTTCTATGTTTGCAGTTTAAAGATGCGTTGTATCTTTGTCATCTTTATGCCTGACGGCTTTTTGGCAAACTTACCAGTTCTGAGAACACTTAACGGTACAGTCGTTTCCCTGAAGATGTAAGTCATGAAACAGTATAGTATATAATGCCGGTAGACACTTGCAGAGGTTGCCGCACTACGTACAGTAGTAACTGCATGTCTACTTATGGACATCTTGAGTCATCACAGAAGATTGGGACAACATTTGTGTACGGATAGCACAGTGCTGTACGGGGGTGTGGAAGTATGGGAGCCGAGAATCTTTGCATATTACTCACCAGCCCGCGTACATATTCATACACAGGGCGAGGAAACTTATCACTGGCCACATTTTAATCATCGGGCTTGTGTGGGGGCTGACGATCCGCCTTAGTTGCCATGGTAACGGACCTAATCGCTGATTACAGGGTGCTGCGGGTATTTTTGACTCCCACGGGCCGTCTTGAACACAGGAACACGCCAGAATAAATGGTGAAATTAAAAAAGAACATATCCACCGGCCTGTTTTTCTTTAAAGAACAATATCTAGCTAAAGCTATAAAACAACTGGCATCGAGATATCATCTTACATCCTTGTAGCTCTATTCTTCCTCGGGTCTTCGTAAACATTGCGAACGGTAAAATACCTCCTTTTTTCTTGGCCTTTCTCTTCTTAGTTGATGTCAGATTTTGAAGACGCCAAACCCCATTTCAGAATGACATCTGTGTGTGACACATGATTATTGTATTTCCCCACACGGGATGTGCTGTTTACATGTACACGAGACTACAGGTGGTTATGATCACGATAGGAACGGCTTTACCTCACAAAGAAGAACGCTTTCATCAAGTGTAACAAACAGCTGCTTTTATTTCATATGCGTCAGATATGTCACCCCTTAAAGTACAAATGTCTGTCTTATTGTGATTGTTGTTTAAAGTAAGAATGTAGACTTTATCAAATCATTCTTCTTACCAAAGAAAAAAGGCTGCACACGCATACCTCTTAGTCTTTACCTGGTGTATGATTAAACATAGATTCTGTAGTTCCATCAAGGATTACTGAATGTGGTATGATTACTTTATTTCATCTTGGCGACCATCCACATTTCTACGATTCCGTTGGAAATTGAATCGCTCGATGGGTTCCGTAGGCCCTGTTTACGAGACACTTCATTAAGAGAGACTGGAGAGGGAATGTCTTAGGAGTCTTCAAAGTGATAAAACCGACAAGAAGACCTTCGGTTCCGACGAATAGAGCGTCCGACGAATGTATGCGTACTCCTAAGAAATCATGTAATCATCCATACTTTCCCACCACCATTTTCTCTTTCGTCCATTTCAGTAAACATTCCGGTAGATGTTTATAAGGGTCTGCATGGGGGGAGGGGGTCCTGGTAACGCTAGCGGTGAATGAAGTTGTTCTTGTAATAACGTTTGAGAAATACTTCATTTGGGTTGTTCTTTTCTCTGTTCTTTTGGGTGTCTGACCAAACCGTTGATGTTGTGTTTGTTGTGTTGGCTGCAGGTTTCGCGGACCCGCTGAGCGTGATGCAGCAGTGCACGTGCGCCGACAAGCTGAAGTCGGGGATCCCGCTGTGGAGGCCAGGTGAGGCCGCCCCTCGCTTACCAGGTGTGTGCTCGTGCGCATGCGTCATGCAGCAAGAACGACGGCTATGTTGAAAATGCGAAGGACATTGAGTGAACAAACGCTACTTTCATTCCAGTTACTTCTGTGTTTTTCTCTTCGATGTTCAATTACAAAATGAGAATTTTTTCAATTTGTCTGAGTATTTTCAAAATGGCCGTTTGTTCTTCGGACGCCAAATGTGCATGTTACATTATTCTATGGTAGATTTGAATGTCTTCTTGTAGTAAATGAAGAAACTACCAATGCTACACATAAACTCAGAAAGGAACATTCTTCTGCTGATACTGTTGTATTGAAGTTACATTTGTATGTAAAGTTGATAGTTTCGACAAAGCTACCCAGAAATATGTTTAAGTAACATATGTTGTATCTCCACGTGCACGTAGCAAAGTAATTACTTTATATTTAATTGTATGGATTGTGGCGCCGATTAAATGATGACTTGTTTAGACGATGTTGGTCGACCCTGTTACAGGGACGGCTGGTGCCCTGCCGTCTGCCTGCGCGGGCCTTGTAGGTTTAGAGCGCGAACAGAACAAGTTTCCGGCAACGTTAGCACGTGCTGTATGACAACCTTCTCACACGCGCATTTTGATGTGGAAAGCGAAACGAGAAGTTTTCCTTGCGGAACCCGCGGTGTTTTTCTGAATCTTTTGATGAATTCATTTAGCTGTAGCATCGCTATACCCGCATTACCTACAGAAAAAAAACGACATTTTAGCGACTAATTGAGACGCAAATACCCCCAATGGAACCACTGCCATTAGTTTTACTTCGACAAACACTGTGCGTCAGCCCATCTCTTTCATCTCAGTCTTGTTACGACCAGACAACCACCCACCTTGCAAAAGTGAGTTGTTGTTTCAGAGCTGAGACTTTCTGATGGGTGTTTTGCTGTCGGGGGATGAGTTGAAATCGAATTTCTGGCCATTAAAAATTTGGAAATTTCCTGGACTTCTGACCCCGGGGCAGCGACCAGACTCCACGAGATACGACTTAATGTGATTCGACCAGACCGGGGGAGATCAAATGATGTAGAAGGGTCAAAATAAAAAGTTGAGAGCTTTCAGCATAATCGTGTTTCCATCGACCCCCTCTAGTCTTAGCATATGTCGCTCAATGGGAGAGGTTGTGACCCCGTGGGGGTGGGGCACCCTGAGGAGGACCTTGCTTTGGGAGAAGGAAAGGCCACGACCTGGCTTCCCTAATTCAACAGGTCACCAGAGAGTTTCTTGCCGATTAAGCACATGTATCGCCACAATTTTCAGGGTATAACCGAATTAGTCCTCCTTTCCCGCCATCGCACACGAACTTTGAGTGACCCCATGGCGGGAACGCGTCGCTACCACTTCCAACCTTTAATCCGCGCGGCGGGACACAGACGCGCAAACCACGCGCAAGTAAAGTTAACATCGATCTTTCTTTCGTACATGAAAAACAGAAAAGACAGCAACGTTCTTAAACACGGAAAACCGAGGACTCGTCTAGCCAGGATTACGAGAGTTGATATTTTGACCTTGACCGTAGACCTCGGTCATGACCTCGGCACTGATGTCGTGCATCAGTTAAGATTGTTTTACTACACAGATATATGAAGGCGACACATTGTCTAACCTAGATACAAACATCAGTCATGTAATTGCTCTGAGTGAGAGGACAAGTTCACCCCTCACTGATGGTTCCGTCCATTACTCTAGGGGTGATGGGATATATGAAGACGCGTATCCCATGATTCTCTGCAGTTGCAACTTGAAGGCAATTCCAACAATGTAGACTACTGTTCGTGCGTGCGTCGCTGGCTCAATGCTGACGGTTTAACAAAATCATGACCATGAAACATGAGCTCCCGTTTACTCTGATCAAGGAGGTTAAAAATCAAATTTAAAGCTCCTTGTTCTGATAGACTCGGGTGAGAAACAAAAACGTGTCACGAGTTATCCCAGTCTCCCCTTTGTCAGAGGATGGAAATGCAGGCGCTGCGTATGCGGACAGGGAAGAACGGATACGGTACACGGCTATTACCGGGTAATTGCGCAGATTTCGGACAAATCGGCAATCCAGAAAATAGCGCGAGGCAGGAGACGCAGTGATTATCGGTACTGATGGCAAGTCGGCCGGAAGGATTGGAGAATAATCACAGATTGTGTTCAGGCAACAACTCCCAATACCCGAGTGCCTGGTCGGTTTGGGTCACTTTGTTATCCTATTGCCTTTTATGACTCTATCGCCAGTATTTAAAACTTTCGAGGATTATAAAGTTTTTCATTCTTATATTTCATTTCCTGACAGTAACGGAATGGCGATTTGGCTAATAGCAGGTCATAAACTAACACCACCACTTAAGACCGCAGACATGCCCATTCTACTTCACTGCGTTCTTGCCTCCAGTATCGCTCGGTAGAAAACTCTCCTTTTTGGCATAGACTGATAGCAGACAAATTTAGCTTGAAACTTCCTACCTTCGGCAGGATTTCTCTTTATTCCCCCTCCATCTTCAAAGGGTAATCTTTCTTCTATCATGAGCGGCGATATTCCGCCGAACATCTCTTATCAAGTTTGCTTGAAACCGGAAATATGCACCTGAGTGCCCCTCTGCGGATTGTTTTCCGCCTCTGCCTCCTCGCCCAGCCGTATCCACCCCATCAATATGGCCATTTCTATATAACGTTCTTATCTCTTCACTCCAAAGGAGGGAAGAGGATTCTTTTAAAAAGGCCCTTTGGCCAGTTGTCCGATACCTTCCACGCCGAAAAGCGAGGGTGAAAGCTTGCGCGGCGCGCTATCTTAAATTTTGCATTAGCCAGTCCGAAATAAGCCGCGATCGATCGTGCGATTCCATCGCTTCCTCCAACCGTGATCAAAAGGTCGTGCGGGCGGGGAGGCGAGTCTGGCTGGTCCGCCGGCTCTGTACCGCGGGAGTTTAATGCGATTTGTACACGGCGGCTCTGCGGGTCGGAAGTCAGCGATGTTCCGAGCTTATGACTTCCCTGGCGGCGGCACGGAGCGTTCCTTTGGAACTCCCCCCGCTGGGTTAGAGCAATTAAATATTGACGAGACACGAGATGTGCCCCGAGACAGGATTGTCACTGGGAGCGTTTATCTCGGCTTGCTGTGTGCGCGCGGTGGCTTGTTGAGTGAAGATAGCCGATGGTTGGATCAGAGGCAGATTCCGCTGGCTGGCCCTGTCTCCTCAGGTACACCCGTCCCTCCCCTCACACGTCAATCAGCCCAGCATCCCGGCAAACTTCCAGTAATGGCATGGGTACTTTGGTAGATCCTGCGCACCATTTCTTAGAGTAGAGATAAAGCGCTTGTGGATGATCGGCGGTAAAGTTCCCATCTGACCATTACCTAAAGCCTCTATATGTTACAGGTTCCAACTCACTCAACTTCCCGCCGGGTTTGCAGGAGTTGGAATGAGCTGTCAGTAACAGATGTCGAAACAAATCAGGCCCCGCAGACAGACAGTGTGCAGCTAACTGCCCTGCCGACATCTTTGCCGGCCGACAAACTCATGTCCTCTTTACAACCATTTCCCCCCTCCCGTCCCAATCCATCATACCAGGCACTTTTCCCAGAAAAAGCGGCTCCTGTGCTTGCTTGGTTATGTCAGTGGTCGATTTTTAGAGCACTCGACGTTTTTCCTCAAAGAGAAAGAACAGGTGGCAGCGCCGCAGGTGTCATTTCCTCGCGTTTAACGGCGCTCCGTCCTCGTCAGCACATCCACAATCCCCAAGAGGGCAAGAAAACGCAACGAACAGGAGGGGAAAAGTTCTATCCGCCGCTCCGTTAATTGTGAACAAGTCCCTGGCCGCCACTTCCAGGCGTGTGATTGTCTTGATAACGACAATTTCAATGACAGTTACGCCGCTTGAAATCATCGGTGTCACGCACCGGGACTAGATGATGTATATCCTGCCGTCGGCACAAATTTGCAGTGAAACTTCCGAGCAGTTGCTACCTGTGGGTGTGCTTAGAACTAATGGGACCTCTGATTGAGCAAAGCGGTGTTCACAGAAATGCCTGCTGATACCGCCAACTCGGCATTACACAAAACTGGAACACAAATCTGTTCTCACATTACCTGGAAAGTTACCAAACTTAAAGTGAAAATCTGCCTCGGCATTCCACAGTTGATGCAATCTTGTTGTTTCAATTACTTTAGGCTGCTCGAGTTGACTGTGTCATGCGGTGACACAGTTAGCAACAGGGTTGTCCTAGGTCGCCAAGGCCAGCTCAGACACACAGATAGTCGACGTCAGTGTCATGTTCATTGACGTCTTGTGAAACTGTTAGTTATGCTAACTTATGGCAGAGATTATTCAAGTTTCAAATGTTTGGTAGAAAAGGAAGATAAGCGGAGAAGCGCACGTAATTTTATGTTACCTTCGGCTTGACCGTTAATTCAATTGTCGTGCAACAATATATTTCGAATTCTACTGAGCTTGTAGGAATGCACCCTTACCCGTACAGAATGCAGTATGACAATAGCTCTCGCGTTAGACACCCCTGTACAGTAGAAAACCTTCTTAAAAGAAATCGAGATCAATTTCGCCGCTTGGGAAGATTTTGTCGGATCGGAAATTGGGACCAGAGAGATCGCCTTTGTGGGCAGGCGGTGCTATACATCACCCAGACTGAACTGTCCATGGCGTTTCACATGAGGAGACCCTATCGACTCTCCAATGATGTTTTGACTAGGACGGTCCGTTAGATAGCTGCCGACTTCAATACTCTGAAGTGGATTATTTATGAGCAGAATGCGTTGTCTCTATCTTCTTGATGGCACTTGAAACGGAGTGCGTCCGAAGATATCACCGGGCCGGAAGCGAAGAGCGTCAAGGGAAGCGGCTCAGATGAGCCGAGGGGGCAGTTCCCTCGCTCTGAAAATAGAACAGACTGAAGAAAGTCATGAATATTTGCACGTTGCTGTAATTCCCTCCTTCTTCCCCCGACCCGTGGTTTGCGGAAGACGTGCCCGT